TACCTACCGCATTTAACAGGTAAGGATATTTATTAATAACCGTATCAAACAACAAATTAATAGATTTTACTACATTGGAGTACTAAAAATTGAATTAAATGCATTGTGGTGTGTACGGTTGAATACACTATGAGTTATCACTATACACAATATAAAATATTTCAGCATGGACATTATTACGGTTGGTTTTACTCGCAATTAGAAATTGTTGATAAATTAACATTATGTACTATTTTAACAGTTTGATTTCTTAATTAATGATCAGACATTTTATGGTTTGGAATTTGATTTTTACTAGTAGCAGCGTAAAATATTATAGTAAGAAAATATATTGTCTCATAGAAACCACAATGATTTTTAATTTACCTAACTATTTTATATATACTTATATATACATATACATCATATGTATTTACAATAAGACAATCGAAGCATAATTCCTATGCAACAAAAATTTAATCGCCGAGTTTGGAAAGCGAGCATTGTAAAAACGCCCACTACCTTCTGTTATACCAAAAAAAGAAACCGATTTATTAGGTACCTATACTTAAGTAAATATTTTTAACGCAATTGAAGATCACTCAAGAGGTAACGATGTTGTATTAGGTATAAATTATACAAATATTATTTTGCAATATTTCATAACATTAAGACATCAAACAAAAATTCCGATATTAAAATTCAACATTTTAATTCTTATACATATTATAAAAATAAGTATCCGCGGATGTATTTTATACAATTTTAAGTTATTGTGAATACACATATTATTAATCTGGAAGTGGTGTAAATAATTGTTTCTATTGGGAAACCAGCTGAAAATATGATTGCAAGGCCAGTGATACGGTTTTCCATAGGTATAATAATTTATTATTCTAATTGAAGTTGATTTGTTCTCTGAAAAAGCCCAGCTGGGAAATAACTTAACGCGGCACATACTACATATACCTATAGTATATATACCATCAAGTCAAAGTATTTCGTATAGTAAATAATAATAACAATGATTTTATACTGCCAAAATGATCAAAAAGTTTTTATCTCTACGACTCTACATAATATGATGTAAATATGTAATAAAGGTTACGATATGATAATGTACCTATATAATTTTGATTATAGGTATAAATTTCAATATCGTTTCAACAAAATATTATGTTCAATGTCCACGCATCAGCTGTCTAAGCGATACCCAAATTTATACGCTTTCAGAGTTTAAGATTATATAAATTGATAATTTTACCATCTATCATTTCAAAACAGTTAATACCATTTATATAGGTAATTAGAACGTATAAATATTATTTTTATTATTATTATTATTATTATTACTATTATAATGATTTATTTTATTCAATTAAAATTTGAACAAGAAAAATTTGGGTTGTTTGCAATATACACATTATGAAATAATGATTTTGAAAATCGGTTGAATATTATATATAGTACCGAAGTTATAAAAAATAAATCAGTATATTATATAAAGTATCAATTATCCATAAACGTACATAAAGAGAAATACATCACCTTGGTGCACGCTAAAAATAATCGAAATTAAGTAGTTTACCTATCCTATATAGGTGAGTGTACTGGTTTTTTTCAAGGCTTTAATAAATAGGTACACATGCAGGAAAATAATCATGCATAAGAAATTTAAGAGGATCTTTATAGTTTACGTATCGAATATGTAGTGTTCTATATACCTACTGTTAAAAAATATAACGTTTTTAAACAATTATTGATTCGCTAAATGTTCCCTTAACGATTTAAACCTTAAAATTAGTTACAGGCAATACCAACCAGACTTGGTCTAATTTTATAGCATTAATTACATTACTTTTTTGTAGAAATATAGGGAAACCTACTCGGTACTCCCGAGAAGCAGTCACGCGCCATTTAATTTGATTTAAATTGAAAATAAGGAAAACGAACGGGCTTAGTTAAGGAAAAAATACGGTATACCTATATATTATACAGGAATATTCTAGGCACTTGCAGGCTACAGACAACGTTTGTTAAAAAAATATAATTTGCTGAACGTATATTTAGAAAACCGTAAGTGGCGATCGGGGAGAAAAAAAATGTCGAAAAAACACCCAAAAATCCGTATAGCTACCAAACTGTTAGGACAAATCCAATTACGGACGTTCTAGACGCACAGATGGATTCTAAATAACGATTTAGGCCATTATCGAAAGGGAAAGTAAATCACACACACACGAACAGGATGTACTTGGGCGCCTTTCACGTGCTTATAATAATATGTGTACAACGTTGCGGCACAATGTTTTTATACATGAATATGAATGGCAGACTTATGTCTCTATTGTGCTTTTATGTCCAACAGGATTCGGTGAAATATTGATTTCTAGGTACCCGTGCACACAGCAAACGTGATAATTAATCGAATATGTACATTACAATATTATAGTATTGTTTCTGATCTGCGCGTAGAATTCGTTACGCAACCCCGCAGGCGCATACACAAAAATTAAACGCTCGGACGCTGCGGCGGCGACACAATGTCACAATATAACAATAATTATATCTTATTAACAAAACACCGTCGGTAGTATAATATTATAACATCACATCACATAGTAGGTATATTATTATAGCCAGTAGGTACCTATACCTACGACCTAGGGCTATGGTTATCCAATATTGATTGTGTGCACATCACATGGTTTTTCGACGACAAATATTATATATATTACGGCTACCGGCTGATACTAATTAACGTGTAAGTAGGTATTAGATATGTACACATATTAAATACTTACACTTAGGTGTGATAATATTTACTGTATAGCGTAATGTGCACAGTGTCGTAATCAAGACTAGGTAATGTGAGGGGGGAATCAATATTTTGTTTACATTTTAATATATTATATGAATTCATATAAAAACATATAAATACATTATTTGTATATAAAAATATTTTCAAAGTGAATACTTTATTTCAAGCAAAAACAATTACAATGTAGGGAATATTAAAAAATAATAATAATAATGTTATAACAGATCTGCTTTACTTAGCTTTTTCGGACTAATTATTTTAAAACGTTCTCTAATCTCTACCAAGGGCGCACCCAAGGGGGTGGCTAACGGGCTTTAGCCCCCCCCCAAATGGCTAGCCCCAAACATTTTGATAATTTTATTAGGTTTATTGACAAATTGACATTTTACTTTAAATTGTTATAAAAAAAAATTATCAACTATCGAAATTGAAACATTAGGTTTAACATAATATTATATTATATCATTGATTTTATAATTTTATTATATTTATACCTGTCATTCGGGGCCCCGGGAGAGACCTCTGTTGTCTATTATTATCGTTGCGACGTCGTTAGTTGAAACTGTGTACTGTGTAGGATACCGGAAACGTCTAGATTATACATTTTTATCGATACAATTTAGATTATCGCAAACCGCAGGTATCTTTGCGTTAACAAACTCCACTTTAATTTTATTACTTATTTAGCAGATGAACTAGTATTGTCGACTGTCGTACAACTGTTCAAGTCGACATCGTTGGTTTTTCGCGAGCTTATTTATTTATTTATTCATTTTTAATTGTTAATTGTTTTTTGTTTATTCAAATAAGTGGATTTAAAATTTTAATATAATGAAACGTAATCATTCTGGATCATTATTAAATTATTTTAAAGTTGGGTCACACACCACACCTGCAGAAGTCCAAAAAGAATCAATTGCTATAGACAGTTCATCGGCAATAAATAATGATGCTACAGCTATATCAAATTAATGTAATGTTCAACCAAATGACGGTAATAACATAGTACCAAAATATGATATATCTTTATATGTAAACAAAAAAAATGAGTGACCATGAAAAAATTAATTTTATTAAAAATATGTGGGTTTCCGATAATAGGTAGTTATACTTTTAAAACTCAACAAATAGGTTCTCAAAATAGAAAATTTAATCGATTTTGGTTAATAAAATATAAATGGTTGGCTTATTCGAATTTGGAAAATAGTGTCTATTGTAAGATGTGTGTTTTATTTGCCCCTTCAAATGCTGGTCACTGTTCTTCGCAAGCCCTTAATCAATTAGTTAAAACAAGATACAATAATTGGAAAAATGCTTTAGAACGATTTGAAAAACATTTATTTTTAAATTATCATAAAGATGCTACTTTAAAATATGATACTTTTATTGATATTATGGGTGGAAAATTCTTAGTAAAAGATTGTAAAAAAGCTTAAAGATTTCTGTACATATTTCAAAATAAATACTACCTATTAATATTAAAATTATGTGAATTTAGCCCTCCCCAAAAAAAAATCCTGGGTGCGCCCCTGATCTCTACTCTTCTGGCGATCAATAACAGTATAATATAGATAAGTACCCAACATAGAAAAGTTTCAAAAATTAAACATTATATTATATTCGGATTTTACTATAGTGATATACGACAGTTTCTATAAGACGGGTAATTCAAAAGTGGGGTCGCGGGGAGAGGTATTTAACAGTCAACACTTAGATCAAGCTTAGATCAGTCAGTACTCCCCATCATTATTACGGCACCATTATACCGTCACTTAACCTGTTAATTACCAATTATAATGTCGAATTTTCGTAAACATATTATTATAGGGTACACGTGTACAATAATAATATATATTATATTATGTGGCTGTAATAGGTAGTCAACTTGCAGTTGAAGTGACAAAATATAGCGGTGGCTGGCTTCAAAGCGAATTTAACGAACAACACCTGTAATGCGTTTTCGTTTCGTGTACCTCCTACACAACTGTAGGTAGCTGACCGTCAAAATCTCGTTATATAGTTAGGCTTTAGAGTGTATAACATGAATCGTAAACTAATCGAACGGTAAGACACGGTAGTAGCCGTCGTGGTGGGACTACAGGTTTTTTACTTTTAAAAAGCGAAAGATCGACCGTCATACAGCACTTGTATATTATTATCGACGCTCAAAATTATTTATAGTATGATATTATCTAAGTACCTTTAGCCTATCGATCAAACGATCGTCCGGCGCCTTGTCGTATTCGTCCAGCATGGTAACGGCGAAAACCACCGACGGCGCGGACGTCCAGCCACCAAGGTTGACGATCCGCAGCTCACAGCCGAACAGGTTCCTGATGGAGTCCATCCGGTCGACCACCAGACGTCCCTTGGAACTGTCCACCGACAGCGTTACATCGGAGCAGCTGGGCGGCGACAGTGGTCCGGCGCGGTCCATGGTTCGACGCCGTCATGGTTCTGCGATCAAGCGGCGGCCGCTTCGCCGGACCTTTCACACGGCTCTGCGGTCATCGACGTGCGACCGTCCGTCGTCATTCGTAGACAGTTAATAATTTAAATGTTTTGTTCGACACGAAAAGGCGATTTAACAACGACTGGTAGTCGGTAGGCGATTGCTATGATTGTAATTGTTGATAGGTACCTGTCAAGACAACAATGAGCAAGGGCCAAGGATAACGACAAAACATAGAATCTGTCAGTACTCACTGGTCGGGAGCGATCGTATTTTACGACGATATCATAGAAGAAAACCACGACATTATCGTTGACGACGTTACAGTATAATATTTATTATTTAGTTAATATTACAATCGACCATATAAACAAGTAACAAGAAAATAATACGAAAATTAAAAATTAATAATAAATGTTATGGTAGAGCACTAGAGCGGTGTACGATGCGGTTATCACGGCTGCTGTGGTTATCGCAATCGCGATGTGTTTTTGTTGTTGTACTGTCCGACGGGCGCGCGGCCATTCTGCGCATGAATAGCTACGCAGTATTACCATTGTATCTATTCTGTGGTATTACTTCGCGCGTGCGCACCGCGACCAACAGTCGTCGCCATTTTATATGGCTGACGGGCCCGTATTACAAATTACAATAGTTAAACTCATGACAAAATAATAATAATTATTATTTTGTCATGGTTAAACTGGTTAAACTAAGGTTAAACCACCGAATTTGGCCGGTAAAATCAGTGGGTTTAGGGTAAGTGCGTAACCGAGGTTTAAACTATGGTTGTAAAACGGGCCCTAATGTAGTTCCACAACAATTATGACCAAAACACATTTTACCAAAAATATGTAGGTGTAAACATAGATTAAGGCTCTATGAAAACTTCTCGTCCAAACATTTAGTTTTTTTGCTAATTCTGTTATTTATATTTTGATTTAGCATTAAAACTTGTATATTACTAAGCCAGCATAGGTGTTCCGTCATACGACGTGAAATCATGCATTCATGCATGATAATCATAATAGTAGTCACCAGTCAACAAATTGACCACTATATGGGTAGAACGATAATTTATAATGAACGGTCTACCAAAGTACGAAGTCAGAACTCTTATCTGAGTATAAATGGTCCAAAAAATGTTTTCTCGTAAGTAGGTACTGACTTAATACTCCTGTGGCCCTAAAATGCACAATACACGATCAATTATTATCCTATAATTAAATATTTACCTATCAAAATGGTTTTGATATTTTCAAAATAAATTGACACAATAATTATTAATCGTGTATGGGACCCATTCAATTTTCAGCTGATGTTCATAAATTATAATAAACTGCTTTCAAAATTTTCGTTTTCTTATAATCCTTAAATAGTATTCAGAACTTTTTATCACATCCCAACTTACTGTTGACTATAAATACCTACAACCTACAGTTTATAAATTGTTATTTTCAATCTCATGTGGCTAATTAGTAATTTGTAACTATTACTGCTCATCCAAGTAGCAGAGAAGTAGAGATTTACAGACTGAAGGTCTGCACTATGCAGCATAATATAAATAATAATTATTAGAAAATTTGGTTCTCAATTCAAATAATATGGTTGCTTCATGCTTGTTGTTCTTCAACGTTAATCTCAAATATGGTAGCAATGAGATAACACTATCACGTTACTATCATTATTCATTATCATAATAAACAATAATATCACAGAAGTACAGAAACAGAACAATTCTGTGAGTTATTCTGTGATAATATTATTAATTTTATTATTTTAGAATTTTAAGTATTAAATTTTACTTTTTGACAGTTTCAGACTAAACTCACTAAACTATTAAAATACAACTTATGCGTCCTACTACAGCAATGTAGCAATAGAAGAAATCATAAATGGATTAACTAATAATCATGATACATTTAGTGACATTTGGTGATTTCTATAATTTATCATGGGTTGAAATTGCAAAACGTTAATATGGACAAACTTACTGTTATATCGGGGACTTTGTTCTTATTGGCTGATGTATTTGCAATTGTCAGTTTGGCGATGCCTGACTGGATCATAACCGATGTAGGAGGTGATTATTAGTTCATAATTGTTTTTAGGAGGATTAGTAAATACAGTACCTAATTAATTCTTGTGATGCTAATATTAAGATAATTTGTTTCCAGGTGATACCAGATTGGGTTTGATGTGGACGTGTATGACCCTCTTTAACAGACCACAAGTGTGTTTCACTCCTGATCTGAGACTCGAATGGTTATTGGCTTTAGTCAGTATTTTCATTGGGTGTATATGTATAACTACCACCATAATTTTGCTGGCCTCTTCACATTGGGACCGAAATGTTATACCATATGCACGTTGGGTAGGATTTACTGCCAGTAAGTTAAATTGAATATGTTTTAGAGCTTACATAAACTTACAACTATTTATTTTTCCAGTGGTACTATTTTGTTTTGCTGCCGTTGTGTTTCCCATGGGTTTCCATATACCAGAGATTGGCGGTCAACCATATCAACTACCAAATAGTCATCAAGTTGGCATTTCATATATTTTATTTGTGTTGTCACTCTGGGTGACTGTAATATCTGAGTTATTTGCTGGGAAAGTATGTTTACCCCATTTTTAAAAGCACTTGTGGACTAGAGTATTTGTTGATTGTATTATCAAACCCAAATGATCTGAAGTTTGAAAGCAAAGAAATTAAGTTTAATATTATGCAAATAAAATATTGATGTCCATGAAAAATTTAAACAAGACTTCAAAAAAATTAGAACCAACAACTCTAATACACTTATTGAAGGCTACATAGCAGTAGCATCAAGAAATCATGCCAAAAATACTCATTCCTAATAATAAAATAATTTTGAAAAACATAAATATATCTTGTGAATTTTTAAAACTATTATAGTGATTAATTTTTGTAATAGTTGACTTATGTGTAAGAATACAATTATTGTAAAATTCGTGAAATAATTAAATTTATTATATTATCATGGTAAAATGTAACTGTTTGTTTATTTAATCATTGATTATGGTATTATACTCTGTACCCAAGAGAACACAAACCAACTCGCTTGTTCTTGAGCATCCCTAGTACAAAACATGCTAGATCCGCTCCTGTCTGAGGACTTTGGCTTTAGGTAATTAGGTGACAGATATATTGGTTTCCATTTGGTGAATGATATGTCATATGTAACATAACAAGTTCCAAATTTCCAGACTTTTGCTGATTAAAAGGTAAATAACAAATAACGTATATAATATAGCTCGCATCCTATCTCAGGACGCAAAACATTTCACTAACATGGTATAAGGTATTATACTATTATTTGAAGACAATATTTAATCTGACATAATGTATGTTATGTATTGTTTTTCCTACGACACATTTTATTACATTTGATATCTTATTACCTTATTTACGATAATTGAGAATATTTATTTCCCTATTCTTGAGTGTTGGCTCTAATATATTTTTTATTTTACTGTCTTGCAACTATTATCACTGTCCACCCCTTGATGTATGAAGGGTGGAAATCCAAAACGTACTATTGCCAAAATACTGGTTTTTCAGGAGAAGCGATTTTCTGTAACTTAACATTTCCAATAAAAACAAACCATTTACAACCAGTCAAATCAATTTGGAAAAGAAGGATTTTTTTAAAATTATTAAATATTATATTATTTATATTTAGAACGATTCAAATGTGTTAAATATTCTATTTATATTTTTAATTTAATTTAAAATTGAATTAAAATTTTAGTACGTTTTGGAACAACATTTTTACTTTCCTATATAGAGGTATACGTACAACACTGTTAATAGTACGTTTTGGCATAACGTAAAAAAAAGTACGTTTTGGAAATAGTTCGTTTTGATATAGTTAATGATTTGTTCCTATTCTTTTAACATTTGGTGTAAAACTGGAAAAAGTACTTTTTAATTTTCTAAATATAATTTTTATAAATGGAAAAGGTTCGTTTTGGATTAACCAGTCATTTTGAATCGCAGATTTGACCAGGAAATAGTACGTTTTGATCTTTTCTGACGACACCAAATACCAATCAATGTATGGATATTTTTTCCATAAGAATCGATACCAAACTCGATTTCATACATTTTGGCAGTAGGACATTTTGGATTTCCACCCCTCATAATATAGGGTATGTCAGTCCTGAATTGAGGATATGTTATTTTTTTTGTCAATAAAATGTGCAACGAACCTGTATTACTAATATAAAAATATAAAATATCTTAATATACAGACGAGACGGTCTCCACTCGGAACCATTTTTTTGTAATCAATGATAAACCATTGTTTACAAATTTAACTCATTTTACTCAGAAACGTGCTCAATGAAAAACTACACTCAGCACTTACTATATAGCAGTGTGAGTTCTCTATTGTTTTAAATTTATTTATTTACAGCATAAATAAAAATATAAAAATATTCAACTGCAGGTCCATAGTATCTATTTTAACTAATTTTATGTTGGATGACAGTAGATTTCTCTTACTCTTACAATCTCTAAATATGAAATGAGGTTTTACTTATTTAATTAAGTTACATTTACAAAATATTAGCTTCATTCATGATCATAAGAATGAATGTTAAGTAGATTTTATAGATTCATTGTTTTTAAATTGTATAATAACTGAAAATTATTAGAAGTGCCGCGGCCTATATCTTATTCAACCATGAACAAAACTAAATATTTTTATACATTTAAAATTTCAAGATAATTCTCTAAGTACTGAATATGTCACTGACAATCTTTTCTAATGTTTCAACTTTCAATTCCAGTTGTATATTATGTACACATACATAGAATAATACATTGAAAATCATTTTTTAATGCATATTTATTGTAAATTATAAAAAAAAAATGAATTCATATTGTAGATATAGAACTACTCCAAATCAATATTATTATTGAATATAATATATTGTATATATTATACTCAATGATACTAGCTAATATGTATAGGATTAAATGTGAAATAATATACAAGTAAATTCTTAAAAAAATTAGTTATAATAATTGTCAAAGGGTATTTGCTTATATATATATTACATGTTTGAGAATCTCATGAAGCAAATCATAGGTGACTCGTTCCAAAGATACCCAAAATATATTCATTGAACATATTTGTTAATCCCAATATTTGATCAGTCCATCCCATCCAGCAGTTGCCACTTTGCTAGGCTCATGTGGATGCCATAACGCAGCAATACACACATTGTCGTGTGCTTTCCATTTTGTATACAAACGACTAGTTTTCCAATCCCAAATAAATACTTTTCCATCAGCATCTCCTGAGACTAGGTAACTAAACAAATAAATAAATAAATAATAAAAGTTAAATAATACTTAAAGCTTAAAACATGAATAATTTATAATTTTTACCTCATATCAGGTGAAAAATCTAATGAACAGGCATACCCCGCCACCATATGACCAGAAAAACTCTTTTTTCTATTCACTTTGAAACGATTCATTGCTGAGAATATAACTATTTTATTATCCATACTTTGACAAGCTAGCCATTTTTTATTTGGGGCAATTGTTACACTTGGCATTGAATGCATGGTTGGATCAGCTATATACTTCATATCCACTGGTATGTCCCTAAATAAAATTTTTAAATAATTAATTAGTTTTGTTACGACTAAAATATCTTTTCCTTAGTTTTAATCAAAAACCAATCATTTTTAATGTATAAAAATATTCAATTTTTTGTTAATCTGTTTAATTATAATAAAAATGTACTATAATCTTTATGTACATACCATTCCCAAACACGGAGACTTTTATCATCAGATGTTGTGACAAATCGTCTATTTTCATCAACAAAGGTGATACTGTTTACTGCTCCCAAATGTCGTTCATATTCTTGAACAATATTTCCTGATCTAGTGTCCCACTAAAATCATGTTTAAATATGTTAATTGCAACATCATCAATTGAACTAAATTGTTGTTTTTTTTTTTTTTAACAAAAAGAATAAAACATATTTTTCACTTACACAAACAATTTTCTTATCAGCAGTACCAGCAACAAATAAATGTTGTTTCTCTTCTTCCGGGTTGAATTTTACACAATACAGTACTTTATGATTTGTAAAACTTTTTATGCAGTCTCCAGTTTCTGTGTCCCATAATTTAACATACCGATCATATGCTAAGTAAATAATAATGTTTGTATTAATTAGTAATTAAAATAAATCCTATACATAATACATTAGTATAATACTATACCTGCTGATAAAAATTTTGTTCCTTTATTGTTGAAACAGGTATCTCTGACTGCTTGTGTATGACCTATATAAGTTCGAATACACTTTCTATCTCTATAGACATCCCACAACTAAAAATTAACAAAATTTTTAATACACCACACAAATAGTTTAAAAAATTTAATAACTAAATAGATACCTTAACTCTACAATCCATGCTGCAAGACATAAGTAAATGAGCAGACCTCGGGAACCATCTAATAGCTGATATACCTTTAGTATGACCCTGCCATGTATGTATATGTGCTTTAGGAAGGAAACATCTATCAGGAGGTGCATTTGATTTAAGATTAACACCTACATCTTGTGGAATATGTAAAAATGAACGCCCTTGATAATCAACCGGATCTTTAACTATAAAAAAAATTTTAAATTTACAACTTCAGTTCATAAATTTAAATTTAAATTTAAAATTACTATGCAGAATTGATTTTTCTTTAAAGCTTTTATCTTCAACTTTTTTGCCGCGTTTATGTTTTTTTGCTAGGAATTCTTCAATAGCAATAGCATCTTCCTATAATCAAACAATTGGCAATAAACCAATAAATATTTAATCAAATATGGTTATCTATGAGAGAAAAATGTATTCAGCATTAATACATTCAACGTGGGTTGTGCGTTTGCACGTCACTGCTAATTGTATGTGTAATGCCGGTAAAAATAACCAATTTTAATATCATTTTTTTTTTATACTTGTTCTTTATGTTTAGAGATTTACAATCAGTAGCGGCTCGTGAGTAAATATTAAGGAATTTCAAAAACGATTTTATTATACAAAATATATTCTTACTCCTTCTGGTTTTGATATTTTCTCCTCATCAACATAACATCCCCAAGGTCCTAGATATCCATCAATATCTTCTGGTTTGTCATTTTTATGACGTTTTCTTTTATCAGCTGGCCTTTTCGGCACGGATTCAAAAACTGTTTTAAATTCATCGGTATCGTCAGGCTTACGACCAATAATTTCATTGGAATCGACTGTAGGATCCAAAGCATAACCTAATTGTACAATTAACAGAATAATATATTAATATTATATTATAAATAGTTTACCACTTCAATACTTAAATATTTAGAAACAAAATTAAAAATAATTCTAGAATTTAATCTATTTTTAACAAACCAAAACTATGAAATGTTCTTCTTTGAGTTTCAAACATGAAATCACTAATATGTGCTTTCTCAACAAATCCAGTCATCATGTTCTTAGGCGCTTTTTGTTGTTGCGTTAAGAAAGGATTTTCTGGCCCAGCGACTGGTGTAAAAAGCTCTTCATACTTCATATTCCGAGTGATTTCTTTTGTTCCAACATCAAGATACTGAA